ATCTCATATATGTTTAGTAGTACATGCTACCTCTTTGCAGACCTGAGATTTTTAGCATCAAGAGAGAGGAAATGACTAATACCTTACCCTCGCTATCCCTAATTGGCAAATTATCGAAAATAGTTTGACACACGGCTTCTTCTGCGGTATCCGGCCACTTGATGGTTAAGGGGAGAAGAGCGGTCCATGCTATCAAGATGGGTGCCCATACTTTAGACTTAATTACATGTTAAGGAAACCTTTCATTAATGCGCAGAACCAGAATGTTTATGAGTCCCTCAAATCTCATTCCCGCAATAGAATAAATTGTATAAGTTTGCTCGAAGGTCTTTCAGAGTCTAGAAGTGAGCACTTAATGATCCATTCTACCAGAAGGGCTATGTTCAAAGCGAATAGATCCAGGATCCGGAACATCCCTTAATTTCTCTTGTGTGTGATCTTCCACCATGCTATTTAAGACAACGGATCCCTCCCGGAGGTGATTAATAATTTGTTGTCTGAGATGTCTCCCTGTAGATGACGAGATTACCATAATGAACATGATATACGAAATGGTAGATAGTACTATAGTGTTTATTATTATGGCTCTCCCGAGAATTGAAACAGAATAAGCCTTAGACCATGAGCAAAGACGTTTTATCTCTCTGTCCTCTATTATCTAGTTTTGTTTCTTCACATTATCCCCATAGGATATTTCTATCTGAGGAAGCGTTCCGAATGCCCCCTAATCTTACTCTCATTCCCAAGTCCACTATGGGAGGTGTGCTATCTCTCATCAGAGCAACAAATTTGTTCAAACTAACCTTGGGTTTTGACGCTTTGGAGAATAGGTCTCCGATTCCCAAGTTCGCTATGAGAGGTGTGCTATCTGTCGTCAAGGCAACAAATTTGTCCAACTAACCTTGGGTTTTGACATTTTGCAGACTAAGTCGAGAGAGTCCTTAATCGCACAACGCGAATTTTCGTTTCTGTTATAAGTTACCTGAAGATCATTAACCAATGTTAAGGTCTGTAACTGATAATTTGCAGATCAGTGGAGATCTTTGGCGCAGGAGTGACAAATCATATCAAGCAATACTTCCTGTCAGTTCCTGATGTTATAAATTCTTACCATATTACGGCAAGAGAAAATAAATAGTAAGGGCAGAGCTCCAGATGACACACGACACCTATGCATTTTTTTATTGAATGGGAGTAAGGAAGCGAAATATGAGTTTATGGGAAAACCTTCAGATCAAGAAGGGGGCAGAGTGGCTGAAAGATTTTACAGTGAAGTGGATCACCCAGAATGATCGAATGACCAAACAATTTTTTTCCGAGACTGCTGAAAAAAGGTTATTCTTTCACTGCAGAGTTTTATCATCCGTTCGACAGTTCCCTCTCTATAGCTAAGGAGCCATATGATTTGTGCACATACATTAACATGTTTTACGAAAAGCTAACTTTCTACTGAGAAAACTGATGACAAACCTCTGGTTAGTCCTAATGAAGAGGAAAAGTTATGGCATACAAGAATCTCGCATGTAACAACTTCACAACGATAGATGTTAGACGAATAAATGTCATTGGAAGAACTTGCAACAACCATGAAAAGCATGTCCTAGGGAAATGTCCAGGACCATATGACCTCCTTTTGGAGTTCTTATGAAAGGCATGGCAGATCTTTCACCTAATCTTAATTGAACTATTTAACAAAGTTGTTTCAGGGGAAGTAAAGGAATGCGTATGATGAAGGGTAATACTACCTTTATTTACAAGAAAAACGATACGAAAAATATACGAAACTATCTATCGATCTCCCTTCTGAACGCATCAGAAAAAACCCTCGCTAAAACTCTGTCAGGACGTATTGCTGACTTTTTTCAACGTTTGGTACATCCTAACCAGCAGACTTTGATAAGAGTAGATTTTTCTGGATAATGTCATTACCATAGTGCAAGCTATGGAAGTCATCGAACATTGGAAGTCCTATAAGGTCATCCCACTCATAAACCTCTAGAAGTCCTATGATACGGTGAACTGACAGTTTGTGCTACAGGTGCTGAATAAGAGAGGTATCGGTGCATTTTTATGCAATCGTGTTAGGTTCTTATATTCGGGGTCAATTGCCTATGTAGTCGGGAATAGTAAAAAGCCTGATCCTTTCGATCTGTCAAGATCATTGCGTCAAGGGTGACCCTTATAGCCTTCCCCTTATCCTCAAAAATTCGTTGATCCACTCCTTGACTCCTGATCGTTCAATATTTGGATTTGTATCCTTGGTAGATCTCGATAACACCGAGGGTTGCCTAGGAAGAGGTCCATGGTGACTTGCATATGGTCTGAGAGAGGGTCCGCATGTACTGAGATATTCGTCACTTTTTCCTTGATGTATGAACGAATCAGCCAATAATCTAACCTCTTTCTGGCTACCGGCTGAAGTCTATGTAAACGTTTGTGCATCCGAATGAAGTTTTCGAAATATATATGTGTGATCAGTTTAAAAAAGTCAGTTCTTGAATCTTCTGGATGCCTGCCAATTCCTTGAGCCGCTAAATGAGTTCAAGGAAGGATTTGCGGCTAAGTTCCGATCCCTTCCAATAATTAAAATTTTGACATCGAAAATAATCGTTCTGATCTGTATTCGAAAATCCTGTATTTCATTACGGTTCTCTTACGCATATAATGACATAAAGGTTCATTCCTTATTATTAATTATAACTTTAACCCACACCCATCTTCCTAGCGAGTCACAAAAATAATCAAGAAAAGTCATAAAAGTTCCCCGCGACGAGACCTTTCTATTCATTTCCTCCCAAATGAGAGAAAACGTGCCACAGGTTCGAAAATCGCATTCCGAGTCATTTTTGCACACTACAAAACACGTTCCCGTCATTTTTACACAACGACCATTACCGGCTCAGCTAAGGTGCAAAAATGACACCAAAAGTAATTTTTAGATGTGCGATACTTTTTTCTTGTTTGGGGGGAAATGTATACAAAGGTTTCGTCGCGGTGAGGTTTTATGACTTTTCCCAAAATAATCAACAATTTGTGAGTCGAAGTTTTTATGGAAAAAAATAGCGATACCACCGTTTGTCCCGTCTGTTGATGCCCACCGTTGCTTCTTGCTCCACCAACTACCCAATTTCGTTATCTTTTCTTCAGTCAATTTCGTTTCTAGAGTCGAGCAACTTGAAACTTGTGCTTATGAAGCCAGTTTTTCAACCTAGCTTTATTGTTCTTACGGTTGTCTCAAATATATCTGAGATTCCACGTGATCAACTGAGAGTTACTAGATGGTGGCATGACCTGTCTGGTCAACCCCAAATTGGATTGACTCTTTGTTCTCAGGGACCAGTGGTGTTTTGTGATCCGCAAAAAGGTAATCTTCCCATGGACGTCTGATAGCCTCTTTAAGTAACATTGAAGCAAAAGTCGTTGTTGTTGTGAATTGTTTGTGCAACCCTGCTAACTGTTCCCCACTAATTCCTTCCGCAACAAAGACCATGTTAAGGTCTTTGTTGTTCGAGGATTTAATGATATCCGTGGGTAACCAATGCAGCCCACAATCAATGTCGACCATGGTTGACACTTTTACAGGTCTTGTGTTCAGGAGATAGACATAAACAAAACTCATTTGATGTGGTTATCTCGTGAAAGGGTCGAGTCGCTGCATGTTGTAGCCGCTTAGGAGGAGGATCTCACATTTCTCACTTAGATACTTTGTTACCAATTGTAGCGAAATAGAGGATGACGTTATGTCGTCGAGTGTCCAGACAGGCATCTTGAGGGGGACCTGATGGTTGTTCACTGACATGAACTCGCTTGCTAGTGCACTTTCCCTCAAGATTATCAGACAAAAGAGATTTGCAAATATCGTTCGATTTTAAAATTGATATCTCGTTACCTATGTACCATTTGCGGCCGCGGTCGCGGGGTCCAGTAGCCGCGGCGACCACATTTGTGGCTGCATACGCGGATGACATCCCCAATTCCGCGGTGTCATGATAGAATTTAAACAGGATCATGATTGAATGGGACTGTGCAGCCTGTGAAGTGTAGAAGTTAGGCCTCGAACCACTGATTAGCTGGATGGAGCTGTGGATTGCTTTGATTGTTGCCTGTTGTTTTGGTTTTGTAGTATAGGTGGAGGTCCCCGAGCCTGTGACCAGGCACATAGTTCGTGGTCTGTGTACTTTTGCTCAGATGAGGATATGTAGTATAGCCGCGAGGCTGTAGGGTCTCGAACCAGTGACCAATTATCTTGCTTTTTTTTGTGCCTTTTTCGAAATTTGCGTGGGACTCGAACCTGCTACTGATTCTGAACCAGTGAGGGGCTCTGCGGATTTTGGTTTTGACCCAGGACAAGCTGTTCCCGGTATACGGGCCGATTAGTACTAACCGTCTGCAATTATTTAATACGTAGGTGTAGAATTTGGAAGACCTCTTGGTCCTAGCATTGACACCGACCGTGACGACGGCGGGCGTCAGTGCAGGTTGGAACGTGTAAGCGGTCTTGGGTGAGAAGTTTGAATGGTGGAACCAATGGTTACCTGAGTTGCGTCTACGTGTCACTTTGTGACTATGAGTGCTTTGCTTTGTGTTTACACATTGTATTGTCACCATTCCTTATCTCAACTTTCTATCGCAGATGTGAACTTGCCTGGAGAAGATCATCGGGTTTGAGTGAGCATGGAGTTACCGTCATTGCTACCTTGTTTTCTGCTACGTAAGTGCTCTGGAGTATTCAAGATGTCGAGTTCCAGTCGACGCGAAGATGATCGTGTCAACCACGACAGGAAAGGAGAAGACGACCGCAGGCGAGAACGTCGGACTTACCGACTAGTGACCTGTTTCAACTGCGACGAACAGGGGCATTATGCTAATCAATACCCTCATCGGGATCGACGTGCTCAACGACCATCTACGTCGATGGATTCACGACGATCGTACTCTCCGCGAAGGTTCGGAAATAGAAGGCGTTCGCCCGCACATGGGGAATCGGAGCTACGAGCGAAGGTGGCCAAATTGTCAGTTGGAGTAGCCTCGATTAAGGAACACTTCGACTAAGTACGCGCGAAGAAGGAGGAGAGGGCCCGCAAGAAGTGGGAAAAGGAACAAATGAAAGAGGAATCAAGACGAAGAGAAGAAGAAGAGGAGGCGCGGAAAGCTGAGGAGGCAGAGAAGCGAGCAGCCAAAAAGAAGAAAAAGGAGGACAAGGCCAAGAAGGAAGCCTTGTTGAGAGCCGAAATGAAGAAGGATGTAACCCTTCATGCGGCGTTGATGATGGGAGAAATTAAGGATGACTGGCTACAACAGCTGAAGACCTCGATACTACCGGTGATCGCTGGGAACACTAAAGACCCGAAAGACATTAAGGGGAATAAGAAGGTGGAGTTTGTTTCGGAGGATGACGAGGAGTCCGACTACAGCACGGAGGGGAGCGAAACCACCGTCACACAAGAACTGAGTGATAAGACTGGGAGATTGTGTCTATCCGACAAGCGTAAGAGAGAAGACGACGTGAAGATGGAGGATAGTCCTCCTGTGAAACTACCAGCCAAGCGTACACCATGGCGGCAAGGCTTGAAACCAAGTGCTATCAATCCAAGGGTGACTAGATCTAAGAGTAAAGCCAAGGGATTACGTTCGGTGATTCCAGCCAAAGAGCGCACTCCGATGAAGACCCCGCTATCAAAGATGGGGAAGCAGAAGAAGACGCCTCCAACCGGCCGCTTGACTCCGCCGAGTAAGGCGCTGGCCCGGTTAAGGTATAGAGACACCATCATCAAAGAAATCAAAGATTGTAACGCCGACGAGCTGCGGCGCATGTGCAGGGAAGAGGGCTTACATTACGAAGGTAAGCTAGACGCGATCTTCGATTTGGCCGAGCACCAAGCCAAACAGCATTTCGGACGAGAAGAAGACCCCGGAATAGAAGTCGTGAGGCTGGCGGATCTAGGTGATACCGAAGCAAGCGTCTCCGAGGAAACTGCTGGGTGATGTGGTATCGCCCCGGCACGCTGCAGGGAAATATGCAGGTATATCACACGTGTTCATTGTTCCCAAGCCTGTATTGACAATAAGTTGGAGGAACTCTTACGATTAGTTGTAATTTTGCTAGCGCTATGCAATCAAGTCTGTTGGCTTAATCGGTACATTGACACTTGGCTGAATCTGTATGAGACGCATGGTGTTGACTTCCTGAAGTTATCGAATGTCGTGTATGTTGCAATTTCGCCATACAGTAAAGCTGCATATATTGGTAAAACGACACGTACCTGCTCTGTAAGATGGCGTGAGCACCTGTACGCAGTTAGGAAGAAGACACAGTCATATTTTCATCGTTGGATAGCTACATTTGGAAGTGGTAACTACCGGTTAGTCTCGATCGACATCTTCGAGGGTAATGATTTGTTGAAGTTAGAGAGTTTGTACATCAGTCGTTGGTCGTCGTTCCTGAATACGGATGGGGTTAAAGCAACAAAGAAGGGTAGGAAGAAAAAAACAGGTAAGAGGGAAAGGAAGAGGAAGAAGGGTAAGGCTGAGTCGTATGATCAGGTTCGACCGATTCGTTTTTTTTCTTCATGCGACAATGATACCGGCTTCTTGGACTTACACGCATTCCTGGTAATTGCATTGATGTTGGGAATCTCCCACGTACTATACGATATGACGGGGGTACCGATTGGACCCCGAACTGTAAGTCGATTCAGAAGAGTTTCGGTGAAAGTAAGGTGAGATACCTTAGTCAACAGTTGGCACTCAAAGACTGTAAGAATCTGTTCGAAGCAGGGGGTAACTTTGTGATTGTCCATGTTACCAGATGGAAGTCCAAATGTACATATTTGAAGAAGGTGCTGGTAGGGATCCTACGTAACCCTCACAAACTGAAGGATTTGTATAAATGGGGGATGAAAGCACTTCTGAGGATTTACCAAGTGGTGAAAGAATTCAGTAAGAAATCAAATCAAAAATATCTGCGTAGGTTGTTGTCGATATGTTTTCGTGATCGTTTTCAATTGAGTTTGGCTGCGGATCTGATGTTCAGAGTCAAGTTGAACGACCGTGTGGTCATTTCAGAAGTACGGAAGGTGGTTAATGATTTGTTGATGACTTGTAATCTTCAGACATCTTTTGTGCTTCGCGGGCGTAGGAAAATTCGCATAGTGGGAACCAAGAATCATACAGTTGCCGATCTTCTGCACAACCATAGGAACTTTTCAACTCATGGTGTGCTGACCTGTACGTATGCAGGTTTGGATTTCTCGAGCGTGAACGGGCATGTTAAGGTCAGACTCAGTGAGGTAGCAGGTTTGCACCCACTGTTGTCTAATGCTAATAATGTGCCTAAGGTAGAGAGAGTGGATAGGTTGGAATTGTTACGTGAAGAATTGACTGCAGGGTTTCGAGATTGGAAAAATCTGGGAGGATTCGTTCCAGATTGCTCCAATGTTGATTTGTCTGCTGTTTGTTCACAGGGTCTGTGGCTTCGATTAGTTTGTCTGTTGTCGAAGTACTGGCAACCAAGGAACGTTTGAAGAATTTGGTAATCTCACCAGTGGATAGGAACCCCGACGAGTCTATGGCGATGTGCCCAGCCCTGTACCATGAAGCGATGATGTGCACGTTTGTGCCTTGGCTGAATGCTACCTCAAGGGGCCGATCTTGAAGCAAACCGATGATGGGTCTGGTGTCACTGAATTTTTTATTGGTTGCGTCCAACTCTTAAGGAATGAGAGCAGTATCTGGGGTCAAGGGAAGTTGCAGATTCAGAACGGGCAGTCCTATCGATCTTGGGGAAGCAAGAAGCAAAAGAGTGCAGTCATTGGCAGTCACCTACACCGAATTGATCGAAATACCTCTATTCGATCTGAGATCCCAGGACGGGTACTGGGGCTACAACAAGAGCTGGTGAAGAAGGATTTCCCTTTACAATTCGTGAATCGTGTGTTTCACAGATTCGGGAGCCAGCGTGACAAACTGTGGAAACGAACAATCGATTTCGTGTGCGATGAATAGCTTAGGATATGCTCATACGTTGTATGGTATAAGGATTCTAACAGGGTCATGATAGGATTCAAACAGGGTCATGATGGAATGGGACTGTGCAACCTGTGAAGTGTAGAAGTTAGGCCTCGAACCAGTGACTAGCTGGATAGAGTTGTGGATTGCTTTGATTGTTGCCTGTTGTTTTGGTTTTGTAGTATAGGTGTAGGTCCCCGAGCCTGTGACCAGGCACAGAGTTCGTGGTCTGTGTACTTTTGCTCAGATGAGGATATGTAGTATAGCCGCGAGGCTGCAGGGCCTCTAACCAGTGACCAGTTATCTTGCTTCTTTTGTGCCTTTTCCGAAATTTGCGTGGGACTCAAACCTGCTACTGTTCTGAACCAGTGAGGGGCTCTGCGGATTTTGGTTTTGACCCAGGACAAGCTGTTTCCGGTATACGGGCCGGTTAGTACTAGCCGTCTGGGCGCTATTAATACGTAGGTGTAGAATTTAGAAGACCTCTTGGTCCTAGCATTGACACCGACCGTGACGACGGCCGGCGTCAGTGCAGGTTGGAACGTGTAAGCGGTCTTGGGTGAGAAGTTTGAATGGTGGAACCAATGGTTACCTGAGTTCCGTCTACGTGCCACTTTGCGACTATGAGTGTTTTGCTTTGTGTTTACACACTCTATTGTCACCATTCCTTATCTCAACTCTCAACATCCCCAATTCCGCGGCCATGATTTTCACAGAATTTTCCTCGACGAAATAAGATGTAAAAATAAACATAAAAAATATGGGGTTGTAGGGTTTTTTTAACACTACAACCCCATTTTAGTTTTTATCCAAAATCGAATATTTTTTAGTGTTAAAAAAAA